TGGATCTTTGAGTGACTCTCTAGGTTTGGAAAGTTTTCTTGCAGGATTTCATGGAATAGATTATCAATGCCCTATGAGTCTCTTCACTTTCTAGGATGCCAATTATCTGGATGTTTGGACGTTTGATGGTATCTAGTATTTCTCGTATATTATTCTCAAATTTTGGGGCAATTTTCTCAGTCTTCTTGGTGGATTTTTCTAGGCCAGCAATTTTCTCTTCTACATCTGAGATTCTATTTTCTGTGTGATCTAGTCTGCTTTTAATACTTTCAGGGGAGATTTTGACTTCCTGTATTATAGCCTTCATCTCTAACAGTTCCACCTGATTCTTTTAGATCTTGCATGAATTTCCTCTCCTCCTGCAACTCCCAGCTCCTTTCTCCTGCCTCTTCTGCAGTTCATTGTCTCTCTTCTCTTCCATCTCTGTTAGCTTCACCGTTATGAATGTGGGAACAGAATTCTGACAGGACAATACCTTATCCCGCAGAAAGGTTGGCAGTGAGGTTGCACAGGTGTTGGCCTGAGGGTGCTTCCTGGGGCTAGCAGGAGGGAGTCCTTACCACTCCCGGGTCTGAAGGGTCAAGGTCAAGAGCAGTGGCCCACTGGAGGGGACAGCGACACAGAGGGCAGTGATGGCGACTGTGGCCTGCAGTAGAGGATCAGGGCCAACCAAGGGGAGCCAGCAGGAGGGGCTGGGGCAGGAACCCCTCTCTCCCTCCTGGGTAATGACAGGGTGCTGCTGGAGTGACTCCTCCCCTGCTCCACCAGAGTCTCCTGTCCCTGTAGTCGGGGGAGGGTCCTGTATTCCAGGCTGGGTCTGTTACCATGACCACAGCAACTGCTTCAAGTGGGACAGGATCTAGGACAAGTCAACGGGAGCCCTTCCCTGGGATTTTTCCACCTGGAGCTGGCTGGACTGTGTCCTCTGACACAAGGGGGTGCCAGAGAGACAGAAAGGCGAAGTAGGATTCTGACAGCGTCTGGTCTCCACTTCCGGTCCTTGGGTTCTCTGAGCTGTCATGATCCCTGTGGATCTGCCTTCAATTCTTTGACAGCCCCAACAAGCCTCCTTTCACTTGCGTTTCTTAAGAAAGTTCTATTTTGGGGGCAGCAGATGGTGTAGTGGTTATGGCACTGGACTCCCACATGGCTGCCTGGTTTTCAAGTCCCAAACTCGGTGGCTTGAAAATCACGCCAGGTGCATGTAATTGCATACTCGGAATCCCAGGAGGAGAGTGGAAGATAAGGGGTTGTGGCATGGCCATTCTCCCGGGGGGGGGGGGGGGGGATTTCTCACTTTCCCTCTCACCGTCTCTCTGTGTTTCTCTCCAGCAAGCACATTCACCTGATGGCAAAAACCTTAAAAAAAAAAAAAGAAAGAAAGAAAGAAAGAAAGAAAAAAGAAACAAAGAAAGGAAAAAAGAAAGCTCAATTTTAATTACTTGATTATTTATTTTAAAAATTTGCTATAGGTCTCGTGCGGGGGTTAGAGGGAGAGGGAAGAAAGGGAAAGTGAAAAATCACCCCCCTCACACACGGGGGGAATGACCACACTTTAATCCTTTGTCCTCCATATTCCTCTTGGGACTTTAGGCACACACACACACACACACATACACACACACACACACACACACACACACACACACACGTCTTCCTTGTTTTTCAAGCTGTTGGGTCTAGGACTCGAACTATGCAATTGGCCATGTGGGATCCAGCCACCTTAATCACCATGCCAGCTGGCCGGCCCAGAAAGCTCTATTTTCAAAAGTTTCTTTCTTTCTTCCATGAGAGAGAGACACATACACAGAGAAAGAGGTTGGCATCCCCGACAGGGTCATCCCACCACAATCATCCCCAGTCCCAGCCAGCTTGGGTCACAGGCATGCACATGCACCCAGTGTGCTTAGGGAGACTGTGGACTGCAAAACCATGACCTTTGTCATGTGGGACCACTTATTACAAAGCTACAGTAATTGGGGCTGGCAGGTGGCATGGTGGTTGAGGCACTGGACTTCAACATGGGTAATGGTGGTTCAAGCCCCGGACCTGGTGGCTTGCTTTCTCCCTACCCTCTCTCTCTTTGTGTCTCTACCTGGTTAAATGAAAATAGTGCCTGGTTAAATGAAAATAGATGAATAAATAAGTAAAATCAAATAAATAATTATTTAAGAAAACCAACTAAAACTAAAGCTATAATAATCAAGAGAGTATGTTACTGGCATACATACATAGATTAATGAACTAGAATTAAA